AATTTTGTGATCACATTGAATTTTCATATCTTTCCTCATGAGTCTCAAATTCATATCTTCATCCTAGTCTTCACTCAACCTTCCTGATGTTCATCTCTACTTTTATATTACAAATTCCAATTTTAATGGAAAACTATTATACTGTTCTTACAGGGATGCTCTGTGATATTTCAGACTAATTATTACCTCATTCTTCTTAGAATTATACCTTCTTTAACCTCTATGACAACAAAATTGATAATTCTTCTATTACTGCTAATACTTGTATTTCTTTGGGTACATCTTTCTTTGATGGCCCCGGCCCCTTCTTTCCACTGGGATCTCACTCACAGAGATCCTTCATGTAGATCAATTTTTGCCACAGTGTCTTGGCTTTCCATGCCTGAAATGCTCTCATGGGCTTTTCAGCCAGTTCTGAATGCCTTAAGGGCTGATTCTGAGGTCAGAGTGCAGTTTAGGGCATTTGTCACTCTATGAGTCTGCTGTGTCTTCCCATGTTGGGTCATTCTCTCCTTTTTATTCTATGCATTATTATTACCAGATACTTGGTCTTACTTATGTCATCCTTTTGACACTTAATCCTATCTATATGATCAGGTACACAATTAATATGATTGCTTTAACATGTGAGATGAGATTGGTACCACTCAACCTAATGAGATTTGGAGTCCCAAAGTCTACATCTCCACTTGGATCTCCACTGGTGGCATCAGAATTCATTCAACTAAGTCATAGATCAGGAACCATTTTTTTATTATTTATTTTTTAAATTTTTAACTGTTATAAAATTGTATTTATGGCATATCATATAATGTCCCAATTCATGTATACACTGTGTAATGTCCAATCAGGATAAACATCTCCTAAGACATTAGTGATTCACCAATTCACTTACTTTACTTGGCTTGTTTCACTGATCGTAAGAACTTCTTGTTCTACCATGCTATTGCAAATGACAAAATTTAATCATTTTAATGGCTGAATAGTATTCTTGTTTATAGATACTGCATTTTAATTATCCTTTCAAATGGATATCCAAATGGGCATTTGCATTGATTCCATTTCTTGACCACAGTGAAAAGTGCCACAGTAAACATGGGAGTGCAGATGTCTCTTCAACAGACTAATTCCATTTACATTGGCTACATACCTAATACTGGATCAAATGGTAGTTTTATTTTTAGTTTTTTATTTTTTGAAGAATCTCCAAACTGTTTACCATAATTGCTGTACTAATTTAAATTTCTGCACTTGACAAGAAGTTAATAACTAGAATATATAAGGAGCTAAAATCAATAGCAAAAATACCTAAAGAATCCAATTATAATTGGTGGTAAGAGGCATTTCCCAAAGGGAAACATAGATGGCCAACAGATATATTAAACACTGCTCAATATCACTGCCTTGGCCAGTTTTTCATTACATAACTAAAATACCTGAAAGGAGCTTTTTGGAAAGCAAAAGGTTTAGTTCAGCTTGAGTTTGGAGGTTCGTAGTTCAATATTTGGTGGCCCTGAAAGTCTGGCATTAGGTGGAAGCTGGCACTGGCAGAACATGTGCAGAGAAACAATCACATGATGAGCCAGAAAGTGCAGACACAGGAAGAACAGTGGCATAATTAACCAACTCTCTGATGAAAAATGTCTCCCAAGGGCAAGCCTCCTGTGACCTAAAGACAAACCTCTTTGCCCATCTCCTAGATGCCAAAACAGGATCAGGTATGTGCCCTAATCTATCAACCATTAGCATTAATCCATTAACTATTAACATAAGATTTTTTTTGACAGGCAGAGTGGACAGTGAGAGAGAGAGACAGAGAGAAAGGTCTTCCTTTTGTTGTTGGTTCACCCTCCAATGGCCGCTGCAGCCGGCGCATCACACTGATCCGAAGCCAGCAGCCAGGTGCTTCTCCTGGTCTCCCATGCGGGTGCAGGGCCCAAGCACTTGGGCCATACTCCACTGCCTTCCCAGGCCACAGCAGAGAGCTGGACTGGAAGAGGAGCAACCAGGACAGAATCCGGCGCTCCAACCGGAACTAGAACCCGGGGTGCCGGTGCCGCAGGCAGAGGATTAGCCTAGTGAGCCACGGCGCCAGCCCAACATAAGATTTTGAGGGTTAAAGTTCTGTATGAGTTTAGAAAGCTAAGTATTATTTAATCCATAGCAACTACTAGTCAAAATGGAAATGAAAACCACAATGAGATACTACCTCATTCTAGTTAGATGTGCTATTATCAAAAAGGTAAAATATAACAAATGCTAAAAATGATGTAGAGAAAATAAAACACTTGCATACTGTTAGTCAAAATATAAATTAGTATAGGCACCATTCTTGTCTCTCACCTGTGGTCACCCGCAGCAATGGATGAATCACCAATATTTGGCAACTTTCTCCTCTCTGAAACTTTGATCATGCTGTGACTCCTGACTTCCGTGAGAATCTATTCTGCTTCCCTTCTACACCTATTGAAACCCTTCCCTATTTTATCTGCCTAATGACTACTTATTCCTTAAAACTCCTTTCAGATGTTACCTCATCCAGGAGGCTTTCCTTGATTTCTTTAATGTAATTTAAGTGCTTCCTCTTATGGTATCCGCAGAAAACTCATAATGGTGAATGAAATACACATTGAATCATCACTCTTGTTTTCTAGCATATCTGGGGTTATATCTGAGCTGGGATATAGAAAACTGATAGAATTAGTTCTACGATGGCTTAAGATCCATGCCTTATCACACCTAGATTACTTTAATAGAAAAACTAGTTAAAATAACTAGTCGGACTTCTCAGAGGCAAGCTATGCACAGGCTCCTAGTCTCATCTTTTATACTTTGCTACTGGCTGGTAGGCCTACTCAGGTTTGCTTCTGGGTGAATGTTTCCGGTGTGTTGGTTGACAACACAAATGCCTTTTTTTCTCACATGACTCTTCTGCCCATTTGTCTTTCCTCTTCATCAGATCTTGGACAAAGCCCTTGATCACACACTCGTATCTATTCAGGCCTCCAGGATGACATTCCTTTGTAAGATTTCACAACATGACAAGCTTTTACCTAGTTTTCTACATCTAGCTATTTCCTCAAGTAACCCATTCCAAACCACAAATCAAAACATGTTATTCAAGGCTGGCACTGTGGCATAGCGGGTGGTGCCTCTGCCTGCAGTGCCTGTATCCCATATGGGCACCATACAGTCCTGGCTGCTCCACTTCCGATCCAGCTCTCTGCTATGGCCTGGGAAAGCAGTAGAAGATGGCCCAAGTCCTTGGGCCTCTGCACTTGCATGGGAGACCTGGAAGAAGCTTCTGGCTCCTGGCTTCAGATTGGCACAGTTCCAGCCATTGTGGCCATATGAGTGAACCAGTGATGGAAGACCTCTCTCTCTCTCTGTCTCTGCTTCTCTGTAACTCTGCCTTTCAAATACTAAATAAATCTTCTTTTTTTAAAAAAATCATGTTATTCTGTTCAGAAACTTTGAATATTTTAGAATTACTTATGGCACCTTTTTCAAATATATACTTGATCATTTATATCAACAGATGTTCTCAGGGCATCCTGAGACATCTGTATTCTCTAATCACTTTGTGTTCAGCTATTTACTTTTAGCCACTAGATAACTCTTCTTTTACTGTATTCTCAGCTATATATTGATGAGAATACTTACATGTTTTACTCAGAATTTGTAGGTGATTTTAATGATTGGGGAAGGTTTTTAAAATCATATAGTTGATCATGTGGTTGTAAGAAATTAAAACTTGGAAACAAACTACAAACAAAAAGAAAAAAAAACTGAAAAATGAGGAATCAAAATTTTATTAACAATTATACTTTGTGGAGAAATTATGGTGATTTTCACTTTTTCTTTATATTTGTTAATATTTTTCAAAATATTTACAGTGCACATGCATTACTTTAAATCAAAAAGGATTTATTTCTTTTAGAAACAAACTCATTTTGATTCAGCTGTTTCTATTCTAGAATTCAAATTCAAGGAATAGTAAAAATATATCACAACATAATGTATAATTTTATATATTTCTATATTATATAAAATTAAAATTATATAATATATAAAATTATATGTATTTTATTTAACATATAAAATACATGATCTTACATAATACATATATTATATAAAATCAATTCTCCAATGCTGAAAAAAAATAGAAACAGATGTTTAGCACAGTGTTTAAGACACCCCTTGGGAAACTCATATTTTAAATCATGGTGCCTGGATTTGAGTCCTGAATCTGCTCTCAATTCTAATGTCCTGGGAAGCAGCACGCGATGGCTCATGTATTTACGTCCATGCCACTCACATGGGAAACCAAAATTCTGAGCTCCTGGCTTTGGCTTGGCCCAGCACCAGCTGTTGCTGGCATTTGGAGAGGGAACAAGATGATGGAAGATCTCTTTCTGTGTCCAATTCTCTGTCTGTCTCTAGAACTTTAGAATATAAATAATTAAATAGAATTTAAAATGTATATTTGAAAACTCTAGGTGAAAATACATCCAAGATATCTAGTATTATCTCTAGGAGATGAGGTAATACTTAATTTTTGAAAAATCTCCTTATACTTTTTTATATTTTCCAAGTTTTTTTGAGAAAATTAACATACAGGTGTTTGTTTGTATATCCCACTAGGTTGGAATTTAGTTTATGGAATGAAGAGATGTGTCAACAAAATTAAAGGAAATGTATGATTAAACTTCAGTTAATTTTAATTTGTTCTTTTATTTGTATTCATTTAAAAGGAAGAGAGAGATGGGGGGAGAGAGAGAGTCTTCAATCTGCTGGTTCACTTCCCAAAAATCCAAAGCAGCCAGCACTGAACAAGACTGAAGCCAGGAGCCTGGTAATTAATCCTGATTGCCCGTGTGAATGGGAGGTACCCAAGTTCTTGAGCCACAACTGCTGCCTCCTATGGTGCACGTTAGCAGGAAGCTGGAATTAAGAGGAGAGCCAGAACTCAAACCCAGGTATTCTGACATGGGATGTGAGTGTCCCAAATCTAACCACTTCACTAAATGTCTGCCCCTAATTTTAACATAAAGGATTAATCAGTTGTGCCTGATCATTTTTAATACACTAGAATATCTAAAATACATGAAAAATATCACATATTGCTATCCTGTTTCTTCTGCCCAAAAAACTATACGTTTCTACAATGCTTAGGCGGACAGGGAAGTAAAATAACATTTGTTGAACATTTCCTCTGTGTTATATACCAAATCAGGCACTTTTCTACATTCTATTTCTGAATTATTACCGTCAACAATTTTTTGAAGTGAAGGTGTCAAAACACAACAGTGAAATTGTGTTGAAGCCGATGATTTATGTAAAGTTGAAGTCCTGGCTTTTAAAACTGTTGACATATATAAAATTTGAAATAATATCTTCCAAATAAAATCCAAACAAACCAAGAAAAAGAGCTTATTATCAAAATTAGAGGCTAAAGTTATTGTAAACTATTCAATACAGTAACTCCACTTTGGCTGATAAACATGAGTACATTTTATATTTTGTAAGTATTCAGTGACTTGTTTTTATTAGCATTTCTGAGAATTATCTTGACACTCCTTTTCAGTATAATGATTATTGAAGATATTTAAATTTTTTTAAGATTTATTTTACTTATTTGAAAGGCAGAGTTACAGAGAAAAAGTTAGGGAAAGAGATGAAGAGAGAAAAAGAGAGATCTTCCATATTTTGGTTCACTCTCCAAAGGGCCAGAATAGCTAGTACTGGGCCAAGTCAAAGCTGGTAGCTTCATCGGGACTCTCATGTGGGTAGCAGGGGCACAAGCACTTGTGCTATATTCTGCTGCTTTGCTCAGGACATTAGCAGGGAGCTTGATCAGAAGTGGAACATCCAGTACTTGAAACACTGCCCATATGGGATGTCGGCATCACAGGGGGGTAGTTTTATTTGCTATGCCACAATTGGAGGTATATATAGCCTATAAAGCTAGGATGCTAGCACCTATTTTGCTGAGTGTTAAGAGATGTGGCTACTTAAGATATTGCCTACTGTTCAATAAATGACAATGCCTTTCCGTTTCTTAGTGTGATTTCCGTCAGGATATGGACTTATTATATATGTGTCATTATTACCTCAGCTCATGGCAAGTATTGGTACTTACAGTATATTTCAAAGAAAATGAAATATCATTAGTTAATAACATATTTAATGGGCTTTTGAAAAGTGTCCTTAGAACTTTTAAAAAGATTTTTACAATAATACTAGTCAAAAATGTCCTTGCAAGATGTCTGTAATAAAAATTAACTTTTTAGGAATGTATATGAAATACATTATAAATATTGGAAACTCCAGTTCAGTCACTATCTTATAAATACAGTTCAGTAATATTTATATTCGATAGAAAATAAGCATGTATGACCTTATATATTATGCCAAGGATGTTTCCTTATTCATGTGGGTGAAAGAACGAAATATATAAATATCTAATGATCTTTCATTGAAAATCATTTTGGTTGCAAGACTGAGCCTCACAAAATACACTTATTGAATTAAATGGTTTAAGGTAGAAAAAAGAAAAGCAAGTAGGCAAGCTTCCAGCCAATATACTTGATGAACAGAGATGCAAAAACCTTAACAAAATACTAGCATATTGAATCCAATAGCATATTAGAAAGATCATTCACCATTACCAAATGAGAGTCATCTCAGATATGCAAGGATGGTTCAACATCTGCAGATAAACAAATCTAATACACCACATCATCAAACTGAAGGACAAAATCAGCAAAGCATACAGCAAAGGCATTTGACAAAATTGAACATCGAAGAACTCAGACCAAATCAATATATGAATAAACATACTTCAACACAATAAAAGTCATGTGTAACAAGCCAACAGCTAACATTATTTTTTAAAGATTTATTTATTTATTTGAAAGTCAGAGTTACACAGAGAGAGAGGAGAGGCAGAGAGAGAGAGAGAGAGAGAGAGAGAGAGAGAGGTCTTCCATTGCTGGTTCACTCCCCAGTTGGCTGCAATGGCCGGACCTGTACTGATCTGAAGCCAGGAACCAGGAGTGTCTTCCCAGTGTCCCTCGTGGGTGCAGGAGCCCAAGGACTTGGGCCATCTTCTACTGCTTTCCCAGGCCACAGCAGAAAGCTGGATTGGAAGTGGAGCAGCCGGGTCTCAAACCAGCACCCATATGGGATGCTGGCACTTCAGGGCAGGGCGTTAACCCACTGCGCCACAGTGCTGGCCTCTAACATCATATTGAATGGGAAAGAGCTGAAGGGTTTTGCTCTAAGATCTGGAACAAGGATCCCTGCTTTCACTACTTTTATTCAGCATAATACTGGAAGTCCTGGCTAGAGCAATTATGGAACAGTAACAAACTGAATCCAAATTGGAAAGGAGGAAGGAAAATTGTTACTGTTTGCTGATGACATCATTATATATAATTGAAAACCCCAAAGACTCCACCAAAAAGCTGTTAGAATAAATAAAATCAGCATTTACTGAATACAAAATTATGTACAAAACTCAATAGCATTTTATACAGAAATAGTGGATCATCTGAAAAAGAAATCAAGAAATTATCTGAAAAATAAAATCCCACTTCCAATAACTACAAAAAAGTGAAACATCTTAGAATAAATTTAACCAAAGGAGTTGAAGGATCTCTATAATGAAAACTATCAGTTGTTGATAAAGAAATTGAAGAGGACATAAAGTAATGGAAAGACAGCCTTGTGTTTATGGATTTGAAAATCAGTAGTGATTTAAATGTGCATACTACCAAATGCAATTCACAGATCCAATGCAACCACTATCAAAATTCTAATTATATTATGTACACAACTGGAGAAAACAATATTAAAATTTCATGGAACTAAAAATCGACTGTGAACAGCCAAAGCAATGTTGAACAAAAAGAACAAATCAGGTGGCATTACTCTACTGGACTTTAAAATATCTTACAAATCTATACTAATTTAAACAACATGGTATAGGCATTAATCATATCCATAGACCAATAGAACACAATGGAGACTCTAAAAGTAAACATACCCATCTATAGCCAACTGATATTTGACAAAGGTGCTAAGAACATGCATTGGAAAAGGATAGCCTTTTTAAATAAATGATGATGAGAGAAGAGGTATTCACATGCAGAATAATGGAACTACAACCCTAGTTTCAATGTGAGACCTGAAATTTGAAATTATTAAGGAGAAACACTTCAGGACATTGTAATTGGCAAGGATTTTATGGATCAGTTGCCAAAAAGCACAGGAAGTAAAAGCAAAAATGGAAAAATGGGACTTCGTCAAATTGAAGAGTTTTTGCACAGCAAAGGAAACAATCAAAAAAAGTAAAGAGACAATCTACAGAATGGAAGAAAGAGTTTAATATCCAAAATATATAAAGAATGCAACTCAATAGGAACACAAAACAAAACACACCCAAAAATGTAGTGCAATTTAAAAATGGGTAGTATATTGGTGAACCAGTGAATGGAAGATCTCTCTCTGTCTCTTCCTCTCTCTCTGGGTGTCACTTCACCTTTCAAATAAATAAATAAAGGAATATTTTAAAAAGATCATATATATTTATATACCTCATTGGTATATAAAGAAAATATGATACACCCACACACAATGGTGTACTACTCAGCCACAAAGCATGAAATCTTGTTAATTGCAATAAGATGGATGGAACCAGAAGTCACTATGTTAAGTGAAAAACCCAAGCACAGAAAAACAAATATCACTTGATATCACTCACACATAGAGTCTTAAAAAAATAGGGGATCTCATAGAAGTTCAAATATAATGGTGGTTACCAGAGGTTGGGGAGGGAAGTGAGGAGAGAGGGATGTTGCCAGTTAGGAATAAGAAGTTTTGGAGTTCTATTGGATAGTAGAGTAACTATGGATAATATTAATGCACCACATATTTCTTTCTAAAAAATTAAAAGATGATATTTTGGATATTTTCATTATAAAGAAATATCAAATTATTGAAAGGATAAATGTTTTTAATCCTAATTTGGCCTTACACTATATATGTGCCTACGTATATATATGTATGTGTGTGTGTGTGTGTGTGTGCCAGCCCCTGAAATGGAGCTTTTCTCTTTTCTAATCCAGTTATCCAGCTACACCATAAGTTGCCTTTTCTATCTGGGAGATTTGTTGATTTGGTACATGACTGACTGAGGTCCTATGCATAGTGTGGAGTTGAAATGCATTCAACATGCCCAGGGATTCTATTATGCTCAACATTTTGTGGCTAAAAATATTTGAAAATTAATAAGAAATAAAACATAATCCCCAGTATCTTATGATATCTAGTAACACAAGCTCTGGAAAAGCAGCTATATTATAAAATTATAAGAAAGTATTAGAAGAATTAAATAATCAATATGTGAGTTAAGTCTTGGCCAATGATGGGGTAATGGAAATTTTAGTCATTTTTCATTCATTCATTCTTCCATCTAATGAGTATTTATTGAGCACCTACTTTTTGCCAATCACATATCAAGTATTGTAGCAGTAAACAAGTAGACTCTGGGTAGGTTAAGTAATAAAACTTGGGGCCGACGTGGAGGTGCACTAGGTTAATCCTCCTGCAGCACTGGCATCCCATGTGGGCGCTGGTTCTAGTCCCGGTTGCTCCTCTTCCAGTCCAGCTCTCTGCTGTGGCTTGGGAAGGCAGTGGAGGATGGCCCAGGTGTTTGGGCCCCTGCACCTGCATGGGAGACTAGGAGAAAGCACCTGGCTCCTGGCTTTGGATCGGTGTACCTCCAGATGTTAGTGGCCATTTGGGGGGTAAACCAATGGAAGGAAGACCTTTCTCTCTGTCTCTCTCTCTCTGGTTGTCTTTAACTCTAACTGTCAAATAAATAAATAAATAAAAACTTTAAAAACTAATAAAACTTAAACGTTAGGGGAAATGGAATTTATTGGAAGGATAGCATGTCTCACACAAAGTTAAGGGAAGAACCAAACCAGTTTGGGGTACATGAACAGCCTGACTCATAAAATGTCTCTATAACCAGATTAAATTATCCTTCCTAACCCCAATCCGTTATCCCAGTCTGTATTTTAATTCACAGTTTCATATACCTGAGAGAAAAAAACTGATTTACCCAGCTGTGTCAGGAACTCTGCCCTGGAGCAAGTTATTATGCCAGTAGAAGGTTCACATTTCACAAGCAACAGACATGGCCATTACAGGACAAACTACCTCTAGTTTCAAGTTAGCTCCAAAGAAGGAACGAAGAATCCTTGTTCATTGGGCATCCCTTCATTCCCAAGTGGTATCTACCAAAAGCTGATATCAATGGGAATGAAATTAAGGGAATGTGTTCCTTTTCCTAGCTTTTTCCTATTACAACAACTTTTTGGCATTAATGAGCTGGCTAAGGAAATTGTCCGAGAATTTCTGAGAAATAAGGCTTTGTAAACCATTAATCTACCTCCTTATCACCCAGATGAGGAATATGGGACTCTTGTGTGCAATTTTGAAGATAGTAAGACACCAAATAAGTGACATTGCTGAACATGCAGGAATCATCTAACCTCTCATCTTGGGTGTCTTTTGTTTTCCTATGGTCCAAAGTACTTAACACGATATTGAGAACGTTAACCATGGTATGCTTCAAACCTCTGTATGGTACTGTCATTAGGCATAGGTAGCAACCTAGCAAGAGCTGTATGACATTCATGACCAAAAGTTCACAGACTTGGATTGAGTAACTTCTATGAACAACAAGCAGATAGCTGAGGTTAAGACACATATGGACAGCTCAAGACAGCGCTGGAAAAAAGGCTTATCCTACTGAATTTTCTGAGTAAATATCTCTGTCTTTCTATTAGTGAAGAGAAATAACTGTTTCTTATGACCTTAAATCAAATTCATAGTTTACATAATTGTTCAAACCACTCTTTCTTGCTATTTGTAAGCGATGTCCTTCATTTCAATCTTTTCTTCATTTTTAACTAATTATCGACCAGTAAACTGGGCATCTGTTCTTCCAATATCATGATTGACTATAAATTTCATTTAAGAAATACAGTACAGTAGGTAAATGTGTGTCTCTGGAGCTACCTGAGTAGAAATTCAAGCTACTTCATTTCTTAGGGACATGATTTTAGACAAGTCATTCCATTTCATGGGCTTCTGTTCTGGAAAACGAGTATACTTATAGCACCTACTTCATAGGAAGGTTGTGTTAGCAGATGAGTTAATATATAGTTGAGGATATGAAAGATTATATATATATATACACACACACACACATACATACATACACACATAGTATGACTCCAAAGCAAGAAACACATTGAGAGACAAAAATCTAATTCAAATAATCCTCACCCTCAAAACTATGCTGCTTAGCACTGAGTTGACAAAACTAAGAAAAATTATCAACTGTAAGCCCTAAAAGCCAACCTAAAAGGACACTGTCTCTAGGTTGTTGCTCCAACCATATTACCAACTTTTCCCAGAGGAAAGGTATTTAGACCTTTCTAAAGGCAAGTAGTTCATAACAAGCGTGTATATTCTTGTTACCTTCTTTTTTGGAATGATTGTCATTTAAAAACAGATATTCAGGGCAAGAATTTGGCACAGTGGCTAAGATGCCACTTGGGATGCCTATATCCTGTATTAGAACCACTGGGTTTGAGTTCAGGTTCTACTTCTGATTCAACTTCTTGCTAATGTGTACCCTGAGAATCCACAGGTGATGAGACTAGGAAAGAGTTCTGAGCTCCTGGTTTTGACCTAGCCCTGTCATGGGTATTTGGCAAGTGAATCTGTGGATGGAAGGTCTCTCTCTCTCGCTCTCTCTCTCTTTCTCTTTCTCTCTGCCTTTCAAATAGATAAATAAAATAAATTTCAAGAAAAAAATATATATCTCACCCATATAGATCCCTGAAGACTTTGCCTTCAATTGTTCTCTCAACAAATATTAGGTTCCTATTTACAGACAGCCACTGTTCAGTACTCTGAGGATAGAGGAGTGAATAGATGAAGTCCCTGATAATACTGAGCCTATATTCTAGTGGAAGATACTTTATCCCCAAAACAAACATAAATATAATATTCTTTTAAATTGTAATCAATGCTCTCATAAACATAAAATAGGATGAAATCATAAAGGGTGCCTGGCCCATGGGAATTACTTTAATTTGGGGGGTCATGGAAAGTTTCCCTGAGATCTGTAGGATTTTGAAGCCTACTGTGGCTTGAAACAGAAACAGGGAAAAGGAAGTACAAAGGCCCTGAGGTGAGACAGACCTTTAGCACATTGAAATTGTAAGGAAGCCACTATGGTTACAGCAGTGTGAACAAGGTGTTTACAAATCAAGATAAAGATGTGGGGAGACAGCTGCATCTGTAGGGCCTTTAAGTAATAGAAGAATCTGGCTTTTCAATGATTAAAAGCTTTTAAACACAAGTGTGACCTGTTTTGATCTGCCCTTTAAAAAGACTATACACCAGCTAGAGAATGATTTTTTTCTTTTAAGATTTTATTTATTTTTATTTGAGAGGTAGAGTTACAGACAGTGAGAGGGAGAGACAGAGAGAAAGGTCTTCCTTCCGTTGGTTCACTCCCAAAATGGCTGCTAACGGCTGGAGCTGTGCCGATCCAAAGCCAGGAGCTAAGTGCCTACTCCCGGTCTCCCATGTGGGTGCAGGGGCCCAAGGACTTGGGCCATCCTCTACTGCTTTCCTAGGTCATAACAGAGAGCTGGATGGGAAGAGGAGCAGCCGGGACTCGAACTGGAGTCCATATGTGATGCCAGTGCTGCAGGCGGAGAATTAACCCACTACACCATGGCGCCAGCCCTAGAGAATGAAATTTAAAGCTGGGGAGCAGGTGTGCAAAAAAGGAGACCAGTGGGGAGGCTCTCCTAGTAATCCAGTTGAGAGAAGGTAGTTAGGGGGGGCAGGGTAGGGATAGTAGTAGTAGAAATGGTGGAAAGTGGTCAGATTCTGGATGGTTTTAAATGAAGGCAATGGGATTTCCTGAAGAATTGAAGTGACTTGAGAAAGACGAGGGGTCAAGGATGGCTCCAAGATTTTTTGGCCTGAACAACTAGTTGTTGTCATTAACGGGAATGGAGATTGACATTCAACATGATTTCTGATGGGTCATGTTGGAGTCCTACCTGGAAAACAGGACCTCAGGGATAACTTTCTGTTATCCAGCTTCCTATTTATGGAGTGGAGCAGTGGTATGAGACTGCTGTTCAGGATGAATTAGAGGCATCAAGCACATTTGGAGGACTCTCCCTCTTTCACCCCACATTCTTGTCAGAAATTTGGAGATTCACACAGAGGAGGAGACTGAGCACCCATTCCAGGCAGAACACAGAAGCCTCAGCCAGGCTTGTTGCACCCACTTCCGTCCAGAAACTGCATGGGAGTGGGTGGCTCCAAAGAGGGCGCTGCAGGAACTTTCTAGGCGATACTAGGGAACTACTTTTAGCAGAAACAAAGTAAAAAGAGATGGCGCGGGGTGTGGTGAGGTCTGGCTGGGCCGGAAGGAGTTTGGGTGGAGCCTGGTATGCAAGCTTCAGGCAGCGGGGGATGGGAGCTTACAACTAGCCACTAACTTCACCTTCATGAATCCAGCAGAAAGGTCCGGGGAGTAACTGTCGGGAAGGCTAGGAGCACAGAGATCTGGTTCACCCGCCAAAGGATAATGAAAACTCAAGTCGTGCAATGCAGCTTTAAAGGGGCTGGTGATTGACAGAATGTGTAACAGTGGATGGGGTGGAGCCGCTGGGTGGGGTCTGGGACAGGCAGCTGGGAGAAACCAAAAGGAAGAAAAAAGAAAACCATTGCCCCTGAAATCGCTAAAGCCAGGCGGAAGAAGTTAGCCAGAAATTGGGAGGGAGGGGGGAAGGGTTTCAGAGCTTACCTCCACTCCCACCCCCTGGGTAACTCTCCCACAACCTTCTCTCTTGAGATAAATAAAATCGAGTGTACACCGGCCCTAGTCGGTGCTCATCCCCTCTAACTCCACTGAACTAGGTTTGCAGTCCGAGGGAGTGAGGACCCCGAGTTCACCAGCTCAATCCGGCCCCGCCCCGTCGGCCAGGGGGCTGCGAGGAGAGGATGCCTACGGAAGCGCAGAGTCCAAAAGTAAGTTGTTTCATTTTGCTTAACTACCCTTCCGTCCACTGTCTTTTGCCACCTTCCCTAGGGTTTTCTCTGGGCAGCGAAGTAGCCGCCTTTACTGAAGGCGACTCTTTCAAGGAGGATCCGAAGGGTGGAGCTGGGTGGGGTTCAGTAGGAAGGGGAGGGGAGGGGAGGAGGGGTGGTGCTTTATAGCCTAACGAAGCTGCCATCCGTGGGATAGACGCGCCTAGTTTATTGGCAGTATGGTGGGAGCCTCAATTTCACCTCCTGGTGTGAGCCTCTACTTCCTCTCTGCAAGCATTCTTTCTTTCTGTCATACTCCAGTATCCCTGTCAGGTTCCTTGAAGCCTCTAGCTGTGAGCTTTGGAAGGCTCCATCTTGCCTGGATTCTTAAAGGGACAGTGCACTATTTCAACTGAGGGAAAGTCTGTATTTGACTGGAAATTCGGTTTCTGAAAGGATGGCAGTGTCTAGCCTTACTAGAACACTAAACATATGTTGGGGGAAGATTTATGTGGGGAGGTAAGCTTTTTCTTCCTCAGACCAGACTTACAACTTGCTTTTAACATCCAGTTGATTCTTAGGAGGTGCACTGTAGGCAGTATTGCCAAGTTGCACATTACTTGACCGCAGAGTAATTGGCTTTGCAGTTTTAACTGAAAGGGAAATTTTTCGATTTCAGAAAGGTACCTTGACGGTTTAATGAACTGGAAGAATGTAATTCATTATACACCTGATTGTTGAATGCCAGGTGTATTGCCTGTGGATGATGATGCTGCTAGGTGGTGGGTGTAAAATATCAAGGCCATGCAGAGTGTTGTCATTCATTCCTTTTGTAACTGATTGGTGGCTAAGGTTTCTTCACAAAATGTGGAAAAGGATGTTGAATTTGACTCCAACATTTACCGAGCATTCCTCATATGAATAACTCAATGTTTCATGTTTATTGTCTTTTCTTCAGTACTTGGCATCCATCCATATGCCAAATCCCAAATGTTTGGGAGATCCAGATGGGAGAAGTAGGAATTTAAGTCAAAATGGCATACATACATAAAAGGAGTAGGTTTCTTCCATAGGAAAGCTGAAGTCACCTTGCCTAATTGGTCATTCCCATGTCCATGTCCAGTCAGGGAGATTGTAGTGGGAAGAAGGACTTCACCAGCTCCTTTCTGCTGTTAAATAAAGAAGATCTGGTGTGGTAACACTTGTTAGTAAGGGCCTCTTATGGGCCTGTGACATCCCTTTCATATTTGTGTCTCATGCTTCTGCTTAGGGAGGGTGGCAGGACTATGGGTGGGGCTTATGATATCCCATAGGTCAAAGATATGAAAATGTGCTGTTTGACATTCTAGAGTGAGTATTTCATTCTGAAAATTTTTTTTGGTCAGCGGAATGCCAGTTTCCAGTGCTCTGTAGTTTACTGGTTTAGCTGTCTCTGGTGTTAAATTCAAGGCACAGAACCCCTCCCTTTTTTAATATGATGTTTTTCATTACATCCTTAGTGCCAACTCCTATCACGGGCATGTGTCAGTTATGGGTTCCTAGGAAAATTGTAGCCAAAGAACCATCCTCCACCTCCTCTCTTTAACAGGTTTTCTAAACCTCAAAACAACCTTATTTTGAATGGGCATATTATTGAGTTCACTGGGTTCAGTTCAAAAAAATAAAAGCTTCATTCAGGGGTCTTTCTTCCTAAAGACCTCGACCCAAGAGCTCCTAAAAACAAAGAAAAACATTAATTCAATGGAATGTTCTTTGTTGCTTTTGACTGTGTGAGTGCAGTCTTGTCATACAGCCAAGAGTCACTTGTACATGTCATACCCACTGAACTCTGTTATATACACCCTTGTATGGAGGGTGGGAAAGGAACTATGTGCTGTTCTGTAGCAACCCCCCTGTATTTGTTATTCATATAATATATTAGGGACTACTGTGCTTCCATTTTAACTCTTGACTGTCCCCTTTGTGTTTATGTTGGTTGATTTTTCTTTTTTAGTGTTTATAGGTATGGAATATGGAAACTAGGCAGATCTTAGCTTTCATAAAATATTGTTGCTGAAATATGCTTAACCTCTTTCTAGGACAATGAAAGGTTTGTGAGCTCACTGACAAGTATTCCAGGCAAGGAATAGAAATCCTTCTTGGAGGGCTTCAAGTGACTTCCCTGGAGCACTTTGAATTGTTTGGTGTAAATCATTCTGCTTCCTGGAATTGTGGAGAACTTCCAGCTATGCTGAGGCAAAAGGGTTTCGTCAGAGATGATTGTCTCACTCTCACTATCTGTATTTTTGCTAGCAGTATTTTTGACCTCTAAATCCCCTTCTGGAATGCCTGGGCTAGAACAGCTTATACAGCTTATCCCTACATTTCCTTTTGCTTTCGCCTCCTTCTAGTTTTTACTCTTCAAGAGTAGGGAGCTATGAAGAGAAAGTATCAACAGAAAATTAGATTATGTTATTATATTTATTGAACACATACTTACTGAGAATCTACTCTGTACCATCATTGCACAAGACTCTGGGAAAATATGTCACATGAGGCGATGTTGATAGAGGCTATAAGAGCAAAGGTACACGTTAAGTGAAGATAAGGTAGGACAAAGTTTAAAAGGGCACATGGGTTGGAGAAAGCTATTTGATAGAGAGCAGTCAGGTTTCTTTGATATGGTAATATTTAAGAACATATCTAAATGAAGTGGGCCAACCAGCCTTGAGAATACCTGAGGGAAGGGTTTCCAGACAGAGAAATAGCACATATAAAGACCTAGTGTCAAAGAATAGCAATAAGGCAAGTATCACTGAAGTAAAGGGGCAAAAGTCAGGCTATGATGTCAGTAAGAGGGAGGGTCTGGATCATGCAGGATCTTGTAAAGACTTTGTTTCTTATTCTTCATGAGATAGGAAGCCATTTTTAAAGAAAAATAAGCATCAGCAATAATTTTATTTAAAATTCTACTCTGCTAAATAGGATGAATCTTGAATTGTTCTTTATAAAACAATCAGGATGGATCATGTTATGTTTTGGATACAATGCTCCTTGTGGAAAAACTTAGTAAATTTATTGCTGAATTGTTTATGTCAACTAAAACAACTTAATTACATCATAACCATTGTTTTAGAATAACTATCTAACTCATTTGGAACTTTAAGTACAAAAGTCTTTTCAGTATTATTTAACATTGAATAATATCAGAATAAATTACAGCACTAGAAGGATTTTTTACCTCTTTAAGACAGTATCACAAGATTTTACAGTACTGTTTAGTTAGCATGAGATCATGAAAATTATTTTCTTGGAAGTATTTTTAACTTATAGTTCTGCTGGAATACATAATTTATTTTAAGTTACACACTATGCTTCTATCCAAATCCTTCCCAATTGGAACTGCAAGTTTGGCCTCATTGGCACTGAGGAACTCAGAAGAGTGAGAGAAAAGGGAGATAAAAAAAGAAAAAATTGCCAAAGAAGTTCAAAGAGGAGCAATGTGACAAGAAAAAGAACAAGTCACAAAAGTACAAAATAGCTTCTCTTATAAAAATTCTCAACTTTGACCACACACTGATATCATCTGGGAATATTTTAAAATACTGATATCATTGTCTAGCCTCTGAAATTCTGATAAATTTTATTAGGGTACAACCTGAATGAAGGGTTTTTTTACAAGAGCTCTCCAGATGATTCCAATGTTTAGTCAAGGTTGATAATAACTGGCTTAGAGCTGAAGTTCTCAGTATGGTGCCTGGTCAATAAGAGTATCACCTGGCAACCTTTTTACAATGCAAATGTTCAGGCTGCATCCCAGAAATCCTAAGGGTAAACCTTGGAAAGGAGTATTTTAATTAGCCTTCCAGGTGACTTGGATGCACACTGAAGTTTGATAATGAGTGCCTTAGATTCTAGATGTTCTCAAAAATTGTTTCAGCCCCAAGACTCTTGAGGGACAGAACAGTCCCATCAGTCACAGAGGCTCACTATGCCCTATCTAAGAAAGGTAGGGAAGGAATATGCTTGTTCCTGTTCCATTTCTGGATCCCTATTCCCACTCCCTCATCACAGAAACCACAATAACTATGAGAGTATATGACCCTTTTTATTTCATGCATCATTTCACTTTATCCTTATTTCATTCGATTTCAACATTCTTTGTTTTTCATGCATCATTTCATTTAACACTTAGAATAAGTTTGTGAGTTAGGTAGGCACTATTATCATCTCCATTTTGCGGATGAGGAGTCTGAGGCACTAAGAAGTAAAATATCTACCTTAGGTCACACAGTAAGTGTAATAGATCCATTCTTTTCTGTATATTCTGAGAAATTATCCCACTATTTAGCTTCCTTTTCTCTTCTTTAGTTTGATTCTCCCACCCATCCAACCAATACTACATTTTAGCAATAATACTTGTTGTAGATCTACTCTGTAGATCTCAACTGAGCACTTTACATGTATAAATTTGTATAATACAACAATCCCATGAAAGTAGGTAGTTATTTTCCTCCCTGTTTAGTTAAGGAAATTGGGGACCAGAAAAGTCAAGCAACTTACCTAACGTCACACATCTAGTAAGTGGCAGAACTGAGATTTGAACTCAACTTTACAAAGTTGTACCTTGACTGTTACGCTACAGGTGCAGAATCTTTAGCTTGCAAACAGATTCTTTCCATGATCCTAAAGAATCGATTCAATAACACTTAACAAATTACCACTTTTACTAAAGTTAGCTAAAGTTCTATCATGTCTCCTGTTCTCTCTTTTGATCTTTAACCTACTTGAATCTTTTGTGTGTGTGTGTGGGGGGGGGGGGGACAGGCAGAGTTAGACAGTGAGAGAGAGAGACAGAGATAAAGGCCTTCCTTCCGGTGATTCACCCACCAAATGGCCGCTATGGCCGGCACTCTGCGCCGATTGAAGCCAGGAGCCAAGTGCTTCCTCCTGGTCTCCCACACAGGTGCAGGGCCCAAACACTTGGGCCATCCTCCACTGCCTTCCTGGGCCATAGCAGA